GCTCTTTGTGATTTCACTGACAGCAATACAAAAATAGAATATATTGATTAGAACAGCAGCTAAAAGGGGTTCCTTTGGTCCCACAATATGCTTGTGCAAATATTGACTGGAGCAAGATGGAAAATCTTGAATTAGTCTCCAGGTTTCTCTGTATGTGACAAGATTGTGGTTTGGAAACCTTAAAGGTCAGGACTTCTGGCAACTGGCACAAACAATTCCAGGGGGAATAAAAGTTGGGTAAGATCTGTCAGGATAGGAGCATGCAAGTTACATAATAAACACGTCAAATGGCTTACAGTTTTTTGAATTATGAAATATGTAATGTGGCCAGGACAGGTAGTATGATTTTAAGATGGAACTGGCTAGATCTGTCAGTGAGACTGAAGATGCTTGTGTTATTTATTTCCATTCTTTCATATTAACTAGGGGGCTGCGCCCCCTGCTTGCTATGCTTGCCAGACCCCTCTGTCCACTACAGCCGGATTGTGGCCTTTCTTCCTATCCATGCCGCAGCAGGAGAAGTGGGCCACCACCAACCCTTTTTGTGGCCATATGGGGGCTGGACCATGGGGCCTGGCCCCAGATCAGGGTTGAGGACAGGACACTGCCGCCAGATGGAGGTTGGACCCCGACTGGGCCCTTGTTAGTCAGGCTTTATTTTAAATAAAGTAAAATATTATGTTCAACACAAAAAGGTTTCAACATTGTCTTTATTAATGGCAGGGGTGGGGAACCTTTTCTGGGTTAGGGGCCACTAACCCACAGAAAAATCAGTCGGGGACCACACAAGTCAGAAGGGGAAAAAAAGCCTCTCCACCCCTCTCCCCCAATCCTCACTGATGTGGCTTCCAACTGAAATACCTCACTCTCCTGGTGCAGGGGGCAGGACTGAGGTTCCAGGCCTCAGAATAGATTAACTCTTCTGGGGTTCCAGAGTTAGTGAATTTTGTGGGCCTCCTAGGTTCTTTCATGGGGCCAAAAATGAGGGGTTCGGTGTGTGGAACAGGGCTGCTAGTGAGTGGGATAAGGATGAGGGTGCAGGATCTGGGCAGGAGGTGGGATCCAGGAGGGGCTGAGGGTGCGAGGTCTGGGTGGGAGATAGGGTGCAGGAGCAGGCTGTGGGGGTAGGGCGTCTGGCTGGGGGGGAGGGGCAGGAATGGGGTTGGAGGCAGGGTGTCTGATCAGGGAGGTAAGTGAAGGGGTTGGAGGTGCAGGATCTAGGCATGAGGTGGTGGGGGACACTTACTGGTCTACGAACCCCATGCCAGTCCCAGGCTCAGCCTTCCAGGTCTGGGTGGGAGATAGGGTGCAGGAGCAGGCTGTGGGGGTAGGGCGTCTGGCTGGGGGGGAGGGGCAGGAATGGTGAAGGGGTTGGAGGTGCAGGATCTAGGCATGAGGTGGTGGGGGACACTTACTGGTCTACGAACCCCATGCCAGTCCCAGGCTCAGCCTTCCGCTGCTCCCATTAGCTGGATTCTGGCCATTGGGAGTGCAAGAAAATCCTCCAGGCAGCGTGCTTGCGTGCTGCTGTTTCCCCAGTCCAGGAGGGGGAGCACTTCTTCCCTTCACAGTGATGCTTGGGGCTTTCTCTCCAACCCCATTCCCTCTCTCCCACAGTGGGAAACAAGACTGGTGCTCCAACAGTGTGGGGGAGGAGAGAGGGCAGGCTACAGTGCCAGGCAAAGGTGGCCCAGGCTGCTCAGATCAGTGCTGCTGGGTGCCTCCTTACTCGCCTTGCAGAAGCACCACTCACTGCTGGAATCCTGTGTGTGGCTGGGTGGGAGGGAGTTGGGCTGGGCTTGGGAGACAGGCTTGGGTTGGGTCTCCCCAGGGCGGCTTGGCACTGGGCTCAGGATGCAGCCAGTCAATGCGCAGCAGAGGATGGGGAGGTGGGTGGCTGGGGACACGGGGGGCCTTGCCCTGCACCTGTTGCTTCTCCTGAACCTGCTGGCTCAGCAGCCTGTGAGCACTAAGAACAACAGCGACGTTGCCCTAGAGCAAGTCGTGGTGCCCTGGGGTGTGGGAGCCTGCCTCCATTCCTGGCGCAAGTGAGCCTCGCACCAGCTGAAGCAGCGCCTGAGCCATGGGACAGGCTGCCTGAAAGGCTGTGGCCAGAGCTGAGTGGGCAGGACCCTTGGGAGGTGGAATCTGTCAAGGCTGGGCTGCCAGGCGACTTTGCCATCCCCAAACAGTGTCCAGGCAGGGAGCCTGGGCAAGGGCGGAGCCTGTGGACGCAAGAGTGATGTGATGTCAGGAAAAATTTTTACATAGAGAGAGAGGTATTAGTCCCACAAGCTTTTCTTAAGTGAATGGACTTTTGTGATTGTGAAGGTGACCAGTAATACCAAGATTAAAAACCATCCCATTCATTTGCAGGTCTAGAGGTTCAGTGTGGAATTCTGACATTTGATTGCCACAGTTCAGGGCAACTGCACCTGTATTTCCCTTCTATAGGTCAGGAACAGAACTCTACCACAGGCTTCTGGCTCCCCAGCTGTGGCTTTCCTTGGGTGGAGATACATCTCTTTCTCCCTTCTGACCAGAGTGTTTTCAGGCTGAACAGTTCTTTTTCTATACTGTGACCTCCCCAGCAAAAGACAGTTTGCATAATCAGGCCTGCTTTGTTTCTCTCCTCAGAAATGGTAGAGTAATCGCCAGTTATTGCACAGCTCTATATAATCAAGGACATTTATTAAGGTGAAAGCATTACAGAAACAACATATTCAAACAATAAAAGAACCTATGAGCACACTAATAAGTTTACTAAATATCACCCCCTCACTCCAGCAAGGACTCTGGCTGCTGAAAGTCACATAACCCTCACAGCTATATGATCACCAGTTCATAACAGTTTCAGCTCAAAACCAGGCCCTCTTTTATCCGGTTTTGGTTTTTGAAATCACCATGACTAGGTAATCAGTCAGACAAAAGTTCCCCTCTCGGGATAAGCTTCAAAAGGCTGAGTTCTTGCATAACCAGATGAGGTTCATTTGCATACACCTCCCTCTAGAAATGTCTTGGGAAATGCAGTTAATTTTAAAAAGTTGATTCTTGTCTTAACACATTGTTAATAGGTTCCTTTGAAGCTCACAACACTTCCCAAGGTTTACATTAGTCATGTGCCCTAGACAAGTTAAATACAATCCCACAATAAGACATAAGCATTTGCATTTTAATAGCTCCTAAAATAGATATCTTCAGTAAGTTTTGTCCAGATATTGCAGCAAATTGCTGTACCTGTCACCATGATTTCCTGTGCTGTCTTCCACTTTTAATAAAACCTTAATTTGGGAATTCTCCTTCTAGTGTTGTCTCTGTGGGTGCTCCACTCTGATGTTGCTGCATCTTCATGACAGCAATCAGAGATTTTTAGCCTTAGATTTTAGATTTAGCCACCGTCTTGTGCTGTTTTCGTCCATTAGTTGTGCACACAGTGTGGGTCCCCTCAGTTCCTTTTCTATCATCCTCAGCAGAAGACAGAGTTTTGGAGCAGTGCTCTCCTAACTGAAAAAAAGAGAATAAATTAGTTAGTAGTTTATAGTAGTTATTAATAGTCCTTAGTCAATTGTTGGTTAGCCTTAGTTCCTTATCTTAACAACACAAAAAGTTGCTCTCGGTTTTTTAATTTTTTTTCTCCAAGTTCTACATACCCCAGGTTTTTTTTTCATCATGCCAGGTTCCCTTGCCTTTAAAAAATGTGATTCTTGCAGAGACTCAGTGACGATTTCAGTCAGGAGTGCCTCCTGCTTAAAGTGCCTTGGCAAAGGACATGTGGTGCAGAAATGCCCACAGTGTCAGAGCATGACTGCCGGGGCAAGAAAAGACAGGGAGATGAGGCTCAAGAACTTGCTGTGGGAGAAATCCCTTCAGCTGTCGGAGTCAAAGACTACAGTGCCTTCGGAACCATTAACTCTGAGGAAAAGAGCCAATTAACCCCCTACAAGGGACTCTCATAGGTCTCTGGCGTCTCCAGCACGGTCCTTGCTGGCTGTACTGTCAACATCCATGCCACACATTCACCAGAGCCATCCATCTCCGGCACTATGAGAAAGTGGAAAGTGGCACCAATGAAAAGGGTGGAGTCAAACCCAAAGAGGAAAACCAGCTCTTTTGCACCTTCTGGCATGGCTTCTCACTCAGCACCAATCAAGGCGGATATGCGACACCCACCAGTGCCACTGGATACGGTGGCACCAGCACAATCTTCTGACTCCCAGTGTATGCTGGCACCTAATCACACACCAGCATCGGGGAATCTAAAGCTGAGAGCCCAGAAAATAACAGACATCCAGTATCGAACACCACAACTTCCAGCACCATCATCACTGGTACTTACAGACATCTCACCTCCTCATTCTCCCACAACTGAAGAGTCTAATCTGCACCAACATTCCTCTGAGACCATTTCATTCTCCCCTACTCCTTCCTCTTTGGGCACTGGACCCAGCACTGGTCGTGTGAGCACACATCACGAACCAGCTCAGTGGCACCATGGTGTACAAATAGGCACCAACCACCATACCATTGTCTACAATACCCTTGGTTTAACCACCCTGGGCCTTATCCTCTGCAGCAGTATCAACCCCAATGGTTACCCTGGGAACCATGGAGCCAGTACCATACCCACTCTTCACATCAGCACTAATCATGGGAGTCAACTTTTGCAACTTTGGGACACAACACAACATGGTCTCCTCTTGCCACTACTCAATCCTCACTGATCCACCCCCGTATGATCACCTTTGGCAACCATTCAACCCATATCCTGTAGAGGAGGATGACAACTTACTTCACTCGGATTCTGACAGCCATTCTCCCATTCCCCAGTCTTTTTCATCTCCAGATGAGTCTGTTTTCCCTTCTTCTTCCTCTCCCCCTGCAAATTATCTGAAGCAATTTCATGATCTATTTAAGAGGGTGGCACAGTCCCAAGATATAGTGCTGCAAGAGGTGCAAGAGAAACAGCATACACTGCTGAAAATCTTACAGCCTACCACATCTTCTAAAATAGCACAACCGATTAACAAGGACATTATGGAACCATCTGAAACCATGTGGCAGACACCGACCTCTATCCCTGCTACTAAATGCAGGGTGGGTAAAAAATATTTTGTCCCAGCTAAGGAGATGGATTGTCTTTTCTACCACTGCCAGCCGAATTCATTGATGGTAGATGCTGTCCATCAACATTTTAGAGATACACAATTTAAATCCAATTTAAATCAACACCCTAGGATAAAGTTTACTCCTCTGCTACTCTGCAGTTCCGAATTTCCAACTACATGGCCCTCCTTGCCAACTATGATCATGCCAATTATACCAGGCTGCAGGAGCTTTAAATGATCTCTCTTAGCAGAAGAGGCCACAGCTATAGTCCATCATGAAGGAGGGCCAGTTGATCTCCCGAACAGCATTGCAAGCATTCATGGATGTAATGAACACATCAGCCAAGGCAACAGCGACAGCAATTGTTATGTGCCACATGTTATGGCTACAGCCATTGAGCATTCCCCGTGAATGGCAGACAAATGTGGAGGACCTTCCTTTTGATAGGAATCAACTCTTTGCAGCTAAAACAGACGAGGTCCTTCACTCAATGAAGGACTCGCACACAACCCCTTTGTACATTAGGCATGTGCTTGCTGCCTAATAAGAAAAGAAGATACTCTCCATATCAGAGAGGGAGAAATGGCTCTTATCAGAGACAGCAACAGAGGTCATTTGATCATAGGCCCAAACAATGGCCTGATAGGAGAAGGGCTCAGCACAGCCAGTCATCCACCCATCAGTCAGTGTTACTGAAGCAGCAATTTGAAGGTGTGGCTGAGGGCCTGAGCGACCTCCCCTTGGAACAGGTGCACACCCCCTACATATTCCATCACTGTTTGAGGCCCTTTTTACTACTAATGTGACCTCATTAATACAGACCAATGGGTCCTCGAGATCATCAATATGGGCTATACAATCCTTTTTACCTCCATGCTCCCTACTCAACTCCCCTCCTCATCCCTCTTGGGGGATCTCTCTCACAAATCCCTATGACAAGTAGAGGTACAAAAACTGCTTAGCTTGGGGGCCATAGAGCAGGTTCCGGCCAAATTTCACGGAAGAGGGTTTTATTCCAAGTGTTTCCTTTCAAAAAGACAGGAGGTTGGAAGCTCATTTTAGATCTCAGGAAACTCAACAAGTTCGTCTGCAACCACAATTCAGGATGGTGACCTTAGGAACCATCATACCTGTATTGGACGAGGGGGACTGGTTCTCAGCCCTCAACCTTCAAGATGCTATAGTCCATATAAATATCCACCGTGCTCACAGGAGGTTTCTCCGATTCACAGTAGGCAATCACCATTACCAGTATCAAGTCCTTCCCTTGTGCTTTCTACAGCGCCACATATATTTTCCAAGATGCTGGCTGTGTGTGACTGTGTTCCTCAGAAAGCAAGGCATGATCATATTCTCATACCTAGACTATTGTCTAATCAAAGGGATTTTCATGACAAAAATTACCAGGGACACGTATTTTTCCTGACTGGATCTGCTCGTAAATGTACAGAAATCACCTCTGGTACCTACCCAGAGAATAGAATTCACTGGAGCATCACTAGACGCTGTGACAGGCAAGACCTCTCTTCCTTTACAACTCTTTCAAGCTCTATGCGATATCCTAGATGGTGTACTTCATGTTCCCATTACAATTGTTCACACGTCTTCAGTTCCTAGGTCACAAGTCGGATACACCTCGGGAGACTCCACATGCAATGTCTACAGGCATGATTGGTCTCTGTTTATATCCCCAACTGGTACAGACTCATCAAACGAGTTGCACCTCAGCCATTAGTGCTGAATAGGAATGTTAAATTGCGTTTAATCAGCTAATCAAGTAGTTGATGTAATTTCCATTGACTACTCGATTAGTCAATAAGGGGGGAAACTTCAGAGCCACAGTAGCTGTGTCTTTAAAATGTATGAAGAACTGCTAGGCTCTTAATACATTTAAAAAGCAGAGGTGCAGTGCCTGGGACTGGGCGTGAGCTGGAACAGCTGATTCCTGGCTTGTGCCTGGTCCCCCCGCTACACCTCTGCCTCCCTTGCCCCCCTGAAGAGATGGTGCTGGGGAGAATCAGCTTTTAAACAGGCTCTTCCCAGCACTGACTCCTGTTTCCCCCACCTTGTTGCCTGTCTCTGACAGAGGCAGTGGGGGAGGAGGGGAAGAGGAAAATGACTAGTCAAGTCACTGCTTGACTACCCGATAAGCATATTCTTACATCCCTAGTGCTGACATCACTGTGATGGTGGATCTGTCCACACAATCTCCTTTCTGGAGTGCCCTTTCACCATCCAGAACCCCTCACACGTAACAACTACAGATGCATCTCTCATAAGATGGAGCACCCACTGCAGGCATCAAAGGGCCCAGGGCAGATGGTCACACCAAGAAACGAGGTTGCATAACAACATACTGGAACACAAGACAGATTGCAACACCTGTCGTTCATCTGGGGCTGCATGGACAACATGCTCACTATGTACCAAGGCAATCAAATTTTGGAACTGGTGTGTGAAAAATAACATCACACCATTTGCAGTATATATACCAGGTCAACAGAACACTATGGCAGACAAACTGAGCAAACAGTTTTTCAAACAGCATGAGTAGGAGCTCAGCCTCAAAATTATCCTACCCGTATTCCAACAGTGGGGATTCTCAGTGCTAGACCTTTTTGCATCACCAACCAATCGCAAATACCACTGCTTTTGTTCCAGAGTGGGACAGGGCAAGCACTTGGCAGGAGACATTTTCCCAATAGCATGGACAGTTCCACTGCATTCACCCCAATTCCCCTGGTTTCTAAGGTGATCCACTAGATCCGAGCAGACTGAGCAGTGGTCATACTGATAGCTCCATATTGGCCAAGAAAGCCACGGTTTCCATTCCTGCATCACCTATCCATTGCTGACTCCATTCCCCTTCCTGTCACCCCCCAGCTCCAAACCCAACATCACGGATGAATTTGTCACCTGAACCCTTGAGCCCTTAAACTCACCGATTGACTTCTCCATGGTTCCAGAATGAGGAACTCACCTGGTCTCAGAGAGTAAAGCATGTCCTCCGCAGCAGCTGTCATCCTTCCACGAGGTATACCTATCAAAACAAATGGAAGCGATTTCTGGAATAGTGCAGTCAGCGCCATGTACAAGCCAATACCACCCCAATATCTACTGTCTTATAGTACTTAATGAACCTCAGTGACAAAAGGCTTTCCCTCAGCTCCATAAGGGTCCATCTCACAGCCATGACTGTCTTTCATGAACCAGTAAATAACATCTCTCTGTTTGCTCACCCATTACCAAGCAATTCTTAGCGGGTTTATCCAAAACATGTCCACATGTATATCCACTTGTATCACTATGGGATCTGAATCTCGTACCGGGCACACTAATAAGATCTCCTTTCAAACCATTGATGACAGCCTCTTTACAACAGTTGGCCATGCAAGTGTCCTTTTTCATTGCAATCATATCTGCCAGAGGTGTAGGAGAAATCACAGCCCTTATGGCGGATCGACCATATACTGCATTCACCAAGAAAAAGATTATTCTCAGATCCCACCCAAAATTTTTACCCAAAGTTATTTCTGATTTTCACATTAATTAACCCATTTATTTACCCAACTATTACCCTAAACCATATGACTCGCCTAGGGCAGTAATGTTGTATACCTCGGATGCAAGATGTGCAGTTGCATTTTACATAGATAGGACCAAACAATTCAGAAAGTCTAACAGACTTTTTATCTCTGTGTCCAGTCCTCATAAGGGAACATCTCCATACAATGTATTTCCAAGTGGATAATAAATTGTATAAATACCCGTTACAGACTTCAGAACAAAACTCCACCTCCAGCAGTCACTGCACATTCCATGCGAGCGATGGCTGCATCAACTGACTTTCTGCATAATGTGCCCCTCACTGAAATCTGCAGGGCAGCCACCTGGTCTTCATGCCATACCTTTACATAACATTATGCACTGCAGCATGGACTGATACCTACCACCTCCAGAGACAACACCATCCTTCCCTCCTCTCATACATGATGCCAAAGTCCACCTCTGCAGACAGCGAGTACTGCTGTTTAGTCACCAGAGTGGAGCACCCACAGGGACAACACTTGAAGGAGAAGAGGAGGTTACTCACCCTGTGCAGTAATGATTGTTCTTTGAGATGTGTCCCCCTGTGGATGCACCATACAAGCAGCCAATGGATGAAAACAGCGTGAGATAACGACTGTACATGCGCAACATGGGAAGACACTGCTAAGTTAAAAATCTCCGATTGCCGGCACAAGGACGCACTGACACCAGAGTGGAGTACCCACAGAGACACATATCTCAAAGAACCATTGTTACTGCACAGAGTGAGTAATTTCCTCATCACATGCCTGTAAGAAATCTCTATGCTCACTCAATAGCCAATTGTGTGTATAGTGGGAAGGCGAGGAAGACAGGAATGTTAAATTGTGTGAAATTAATGACCAGTGAATTAAACCAAGCACCATATTGGATTTTCACTGGACTTTTGATTTTAAGTTTGGACTATTTAGTTTGGAGAAATACATGGGATTCAATTTTGCACTCCTTTATTCAGTGCAAGTAATCATGGGATGAAGGTCTGCCACACTGGTCCCTAAGGGTCTGGTTCTTTACTCATATGAGCAATTCTGCTGAAGTCACTCACATGAATAAAGCTATTCACATGTATAAGTGTTTTTAGGAACTAAATTAGTGTTTCTCCCTAAATGTTTTGTAGTCAAAAGTACAACCAAAAAGTTATAGTACTCCCCCCTAAAAGCCATAGTAAAATAAGTAATTACAGGGTTTTACTTAAAAACTATAACAAGGTGCCGTGGTGCACTTTAGAGATTAACAAATTTCTTAGGGCATTAGGGCATAAACTTTCATGAGCTACAGCTCACATCCTAAGACGCTGAAGAGAAAAGAAAGAACAAAAGTCACATTCCCATCCCTGTATTCCCCTTTTTGTCCTTCCTTTTCTCTTCAGTATCTGAGGAAGTGAAATGTAGCTCATGAAAGCTTATGCCCTAATACCCTAAGAAATTCGTTAGCGTTTAGTGTGCCACCAGACTTCTTTTTGTTTTTGCTGAAACAGACTAACATAGGCTACCTCTCCAAAACCTTACTTTTTTAAAAAAAGTTAACAGTTTCAGGTATGCTATTAAAAGAACATAGCACTGGAAGTAAAGCTGTTATGCACATTGTAAACAGTTATGTGCACAAGTAACAGATGGGATGTTTTGAAGAATAAATATCTTGGGGTATGTCTACACTACCCCGCTAGTTCGAACTAGCGGGGTAATGTATACATACCGAACTTGCTAATGAAGCCCGGGATTTGAATTTCCCGGGCTTCATTAGCATAAAGCCAGCGCCGCCATTTTTAAAAGCCGGCTAGTGCGAACCCCGTGCCGCGCGGCTACACG